GAAGTCTATTAGGTTAGATTAGTGCGCATGCGCATTTAGAGTGCGTTCTTTCACGGCATGATTCAGTCTAATAAAATGCATCACAAAATTCAAGATATGGGGCTTTTACATAATTTCATATAGTTCAGGGGTTGGTTGTCCCTGATATAGTTAATCAATATCACAAGAAGAGTGCTGTTTCCTTCAAAAATCAGCATGATTACAAACGTGATATTGATTTTATACAACTTCAATAAAAAAAAGGAAGTTAATATTAAGAGACTTACGTTTTAGACACTATATTGCCTGTTTTTGCTCTATTTCGCCAACAAAAATAATTCCAAGCACAGTCACAGCGCTGTTTTGCGTCTCTGAGCAACATGAGGGCGTTTCGTTCCTGAATGAATCATTCGTTAAATGATTTGGTTCAATCGCAATGACTCACTTATTAACAGTGACTTGCTGCCACCTACTGGCAGTTTTAATTTCACATTTAAAGTTTCAAATATTTCAAATAAGAAAAGCCAACGTTTTAATGTTTACAATATTAAAATATTATTTATGCAGGTGTAACTGCAGGCTAATTGTATTCATGTTCTGCATTAATCAGTGTGTAAATGCATCTAAATGCCACTTCAGAAGCAGCTTCTGTTTCCTCTGCATTGCAAAGATGACTTTTGTTGATTAATACTTTAATTTGCTTGGTAACAGCCCAAATGTCTTATTATAATTGACTGATTAAATATAAGAATTTGACTCAAATGATAATGCACACTTTTAGAAAAAAATGGCTTTAAGGTAAAAATGACCATAAAAGGTAAAAATCTATTTAAACTTATTGGAAAATAATCATTTCTGTCACTGCTGTGAACTGACCACCACACAGAATATGAAGAATATAAAACGTTTTTAGGAGTCAGCTGTCCACTGTAGTCCTTAAATTATCAGCACAGTAACACTGTCAAATTATTGTTATTGATAAAATCCCAAAAAATAGAGATATAATTTTTTGTCAATATCGCACACCCCTAGCTGCCAGCCGTTCGGTGCAACTGGCAGAGCTGAATGTAAAATTTAACACCGTATACACCAGGGGTGTCCAAACTGGGTCCTGGAGGGCCACTGTCCTGCAGAGTTTAGCTCCAACACACCTGGCTGCCAGTTTCTAGTATGCCTAAGACCTTGATTAGCTGGTGCAGGTGTGTTGAATTGGGGTTGGAGCTAAACTCTGCAGAACAGTGGCCCTCCAGGACCGAGTTTGGACACCCCTGGCATACACCATCCTAACTTTCTCTAAAGAAGAGCTTAACTTTAGGTTGTTTACAAAAGAAATCTGTCAGTGTTCTTTTCATTTTCTCTCTTCTTCAGCCCTTTCTTTTTCTCGCGGTAGTTAGCGGAAAGCAGTCACTGAGAGATTGACATCTAATATTAACCAATACAAAATCTGCATTAAAGTTAAGAATGTAAGGATAAAATCTGTTAATATATAATTTGTAGTTGTGATGCTCATACATTTTTGGTGAGTGCTCCTAAATTTTTGCTGGTGCTCCTAACTTTTTGAAGTTGGGAGCACCAGTGCTACCAAGTAAAAAAGTGAATTGCTCAGCATTGCAAATATTTTGTTGTAATTTCATACACAGCCAGTGGCAAGGATACGTTTGAAAATATCTGGATTTCTGCATTGAATACTCATAAAATTATGGTCTATCTTTATGTATAGAAACTAACAAAAAACACAAATAAACAAGCTTTTGACATTTTTATCAAATACACTGGGCAATCCTCACAATGCAAGGTATGGAAGTAAGTGAATTGTCATTTTTAGATCATCCTTTAGCAGCAAAACCTCTACCAAATGATTTCTGTAGCTGCTAATAACATTTTTTACCATATTTCTGGGTTTGATAGCACGGCCCTTTTTAGGTTATGCCACAGCATCTGAATTCTTTTTTAGTCATTCTTTAGCTGGTATGACTTGTGTGCTTTGGGTCATTGTCTTGTTACATCACCTAGCTGCTCTAAAGCTTGAGGTCATGAACCGAAACCTCATATTCTCCCATAAGATGTCTTTAGAATTCATTGTTCATTCAATGATTGCAATCGCCCAGATTAGGGGGTCACAGTTGATCCGTGTTTGGACCAGGCCCCACAGTTCGGCACGCAATGGTTCGAGGATTAGTTGCAAAGTTTATTCATCAGAGAGTGATTTGTAATTTAAACTATTTTAAACCATTCAAGATACATACACACATTTTCCCAGAAGCACTGTGGTACAACCAAATGGTTTTGGGCAACCATAATCGCATTATTATTCCATTTAATCATATATTAAATCATTTAAGCCATCTATTTATGTATTTCATTGATTCATTCATAGATTAGACATTTTTATTATATTTTAGATTATTTTTCCATTGTTGTTTAGTCTTATGATTGTGTGCTTTCAAGGGATATTTGTCTTCATGAAAGAGATAAGACAATGTCTCAATTTCAAGGTTTTGTGCAGCAGTAATTTTCCACTGCTATTGACTGCGGTATAATATTACTTGTTGAATTTGTGCTAGTCAGACAAAGTCTGAGCAATGAAACATACACAACTAAGATTATTTAATAAACTCTGCTCCTTTTTTTATCATCATTACTTCCGTCTCCTGCTTCTACTCTTCTCTGGCTTTGCTCAGTCAACTTCTTGGCTGATAGAAGCCCGTTAATACAGTTTTGGGTACCAGACAAAAGCTTGACTGAACTAGAAGATGTGTAACCGAACTCACATGTGAATCCTGTGGCTGGTGTTGAGGCTATAGGAGCAGCAAACAGAGAGGACACCGGAGCCATCAGGGACTGAATCTGTGCAGCGCTGGAGGGGATGTCTCAATTTCAAGGTTTTGTGCAGCAGTAATTTTCCACTGCTATTGACTGCGGTATAATATTACTTGTTGGATTTGTGCTAGTCAGACAAAGTCTGAGCAATGAAACATACACAACTAAGATTATTTAATAAACTCTGCTCCTTTTTTTATCATCATTACTTCCGTCTCCTGCTTCTACTCTTCTCTGGCTTTGCTCAGTCAACTTCTTGGCTGATAGAAGCCCGTTAATACAGTTTTGGGTACCAGACAAAAGCTTGACTGAACTAGAAGATGTGTAACCGAACTCACATGTGAATCCTGTGGCTGGTGTTGAGGCTATAGGAGCAGCAAACAGAGAGGACACCGGAGCCATCAGGGACTGAATCTGTGCAGCGCTGGAGGGGGCTGGGGTGGCTAAACAACAACAACAATAGATGCATTACAGTTTTTCTAATATTAGAACAGCCACACTACATATTACATACTGTACCTGAAGTTTTAATTCCAAAGTTAATTGCAGTCGTTGAGGCCGTGGAGGCAATAGTAGAAGCTCCAAGAGTCAGACCTAAAAATCAACAGCAAAAGAAATTGAGCAGACAAAAAAAAAAGAAAAGCATTTTTGCATATTTCCTTTAAAAAGGACCAGTGTGACAAAATTTGATACAGTGTGTATTAGGGATGCACCAATAGGATTTTTTGGGGCCGATACCGATACCGATTTTAGCAATCACTTATTGGCCGATTCCGATACCGATATTTGTCACTTCCTCTCTTATTTGAAATTTTGGCATCAAAACAGATAGTATTTTGATCATGTTTTAAATCAGCAAAGTTCAAAAACTCCTGCATCATCAAATAATTTCTAATGAACATGGATTGGATCCATTTAACATTCAGCAGGCCTACATAAATACAACAGAACAAAAATATATATTAAATAAGCAGTGTTTTTTAGGTAGCTTTAACAGTTTCCAGGTACAGAAATAAAGTAAACAAATCTAAAATAACACTTCACTCTATAAATTAAATACATATTAATCCTTCTTTATTGTAACAGGCTTGATTATGATTAATCTTCTAATTTGTTTTTGTATACATTTTAATATTTTTTGTAAGTTAAAATATGTATGAGATCTTATTTTGACGGGTTTTCTAGTCTACGGAGCAGCTACACTTAAAAATAAAGGTGCTTCACGATGCCATAGAAGAACCTTTTTGTCTAAATGGTTCCATAAAGAACCTTTAACATCTGAAGAACCTTTCTGTTTCACAAAAGGTTGTTTGTGGCGAAAGAAGGTTCTTCAGATTATAAAAAGGTAAGAAAGAGATGGTTCTTTAAAGAACCTTTCACTGAATGCTTCTTTGTGGAACCAGAAATGGTTCTTCCATGGCATCGCTGTGAACCTTTTGAAGCACCTTTATTTTTAAGAGTGTATATGGGTAATGAAAGCATGCAGTTCTTCGGATTTAAAGTTTGTCCGTTTATTAAACACCCCCCGAAAAGGCATGAGATCTGTATATATTTGTTTACTGTTAGTTGTAATAAGTGTTTTGTGTAATTCGCTGTATGTTGATGATAATGCAACTGAGAGAGAGTTTAATGTGCACTTCTCCTGCTGTGTTTTGTTGAACTCTTATGGTGATTTTTTTGGAGTGAAAAAGGACACAAACTTTCATTTATTGTCATCATTCAGATGAGGTCCGCTACACATATGAAAGTTACAAAAGTGATTTAGTCAAGAATAGTGTGCGATCTTTTGTTATTTGATTAGCATTAAAGTGCAGACAGCAGCGCTAGGATTATGCAACAGACATTATACACCTCAGTGCCTTCACGCAGTTAATTAATAAACCATCGGTTTGTTATATCGGCCTTTTTCCTTATATAGCCGATGGTTGTAAATGGACGAAAAATCGGCCGATACATATCGGCGGCCGATACATCGGTGCATCCCTAGTGTGTATATCAAACTCCAATTGGAGAAAGAATAAATACATTTTCAAGACCCTGTGAAATGGTTTGAAAAACACAATTTCCTTCTCTGAATTAATGTGTCCACATGGCAGGTGCACTAGCATTTCAGAGAGCTGGAGATCAGGACCTAATAGCCAGCGTTTAGCAGAATCGGAAAAATAAGTCATCTCAGGATCCACAAAGCTCTGATGTCAAGACATGTGTTCCTCAGTGTTACCTGTGGGTAGAGCCCCTAGTGAGAGCACAGGGGTGGGCTGTGCCGGGGCAGCGGAGGATGCTTGAACTTTGGGCGTCCCAAAGCCGAACCCGCCCAAAGGCTGCTGGGCTGCAGTAGTCTGAGCGGTGAGACCTCCGAAACTGAAGCCGGCCCCGGCAGATGAAGCCCCCAGAGTCACACTTGTGGTCGCAGGCTGAGACGCTGCCGGTGCGCTGAGTTTTGGAAGGGAGGCGCTGGAAGCAAAGACATGAGCAGGCTTTTCAAATATAACAAACATGTTAACTGTGTCCAGTCCTGCTGTTCCACTGTCACCAGTGGATCTATACAACTCCGGATGAGCCTCAACCTAGTGCTGGGCGGTTTATTTTTGTTATGATATAAATTTTTATAGTGTGGTATTGTTTGACAATATTCACTCATGACAGTAAAACAGGGCATTCTCAGTCAATATACTGCAGTATTTCTATCTCAATCAGTAGACGATATGGTTAACACGCATGGGAAAAAAATACAGTCTTGTACCGTGAAACCGGTAAAATTTTGAAAAATACCGTGATATACATTTTTGGTCATACCGCCCAGCACAACCAGTCAGATTTTAAAGAGCTGTGACTGAACAACGGTTGAATTCTACAATTAAAGGCACTTACACATCAGAGAGAGCCCTGACAGGCAAATAGAAAGGCATATTAAGCATTTTTAGGGTTCATTTTGAAATCAATCAGGAATACAGCAAATGTCCAAAAGCACAAATGAAAGCACCTTCCTGAAAAACTAGCTCGCTACATTGCTTGACTACTGCAGATTATCAACATTAATTATATACAGTGCAACAGTGTACGTTTTCCTAATTTGTCTTGTAATGATTAACTAATGCATGCACGTTTTTAGCCCAACATTAATAAAGCCTCACCCGAAAGAGAAGCCTCCACTCGGGGCGGTGCTCTGAGGCTGGCCTCCGAAGCCGAATCCACCCTGTGTGCTTCCACTGTTCTGCGTCGGCTGTGCGAGAAGCCCTGCGAGCTGAGACGGTGGGTTTCCTAAGGTCTGAGTCTGGGGTTGGCCGGCCCCGAAAGAGAAGCCGCCTCCCGCAGGGGCGCTGGTCTGCAGCCCGAAGCCCGGGGTGGCTGCAGCGGTAGTTTTGGGGGCCCCAAAGGCGAAGCCTCCCGTGCTCGTCTGACCGAAGTTAAACGCCATAGTGCTGCAAAAGAGGAGGGAAATAAGAGTGTCAGATGTGATGTCCCAGGCCTGTATAAACGACTATCATGATTTAACTGCAAATCTGTTGAATTTATCTTCCTATATTGCATAGTGATAAAACACTAGTGTGTGCTAAAAACACACATTTATATCACATTAAAAAAATGTATGTGATATAAATTAATATCTCAGATCAAAACAAACACACAGGTTCAACAGAGATGATGGCTGTGTCTAGAGACTGTAGTACTGTAGATGTGTGCAGTCACCCCTCAGCTCCTCGCTTCTGACTATGCTGCCGGACTATGTTATCTATAACGTCCAGAGATGTCCTGCAGGTTCTCTAGCTTTGAGAAGAAGATGAATCATACTGACTGTTGATGCTAATGTGTGCTGCTCAACTAGCATCTGTCACATTATTCAGTCATAAAACGCTATTAACATCGACCGATACAAACCTAAAGCAAGAACAGCCTATGTGCGTCTGTAGAAATTAATATTTAGCATTGTTGGTTCTTTAAAACGGATGAATATCCTAAAACAACCGCTCTGGTTTAGCTTCAGCTAGCCGACAGCTCCTCGCATGAAGCTCACTGAATGCCCTCTTCTGCGCAATCACATCGCCCGTGTTATTACTATAATGCTAAGTCGTGCAGACTGAATACTATAAACAATGTGAAATAAAACACTCAATATATGGAGAAAAACACACAAGTATAACTTACGTAAGGTACTTCACAGCAGCTCCCGCGCGCAGTATGCGTCACATGCGCTGTGAGGACCTCTGCGTCAGCTGTCTAAAATCCTGCCTGATCAAAACTAGTCTTTCCAGCAAAATAGAAAGTCCGAATAAACTGCCTCATCAAACAAATGTGTTTGTTTGAAAATGTAGTTAATTTATAATTAGATTTTTTTTTAAAAGCCTAAAAGCCAATGATAATATCATAATATATTTGGATCTCTGAATAACATGCTGTTTTTTTTTTTCTCTCTTTTTGTTTTTAGTGAGACACGTTTCGGTGTCTCACTATGGGATATCCTAACTCCTGTATTGCCAGATAGCCTGCCTAGAAGTCTCCTGCCAACCACAATCACGGCATCCGGGGCTGAACAAGTCATGACTCGTGACTCACATTCCTACGCTCAGTACTACATGTGCTAAAGTTTGAGCTGTAACATCCAGTTTCTAAAACCTTGCAAATGTATGCGGTGAGGACCAACTCGCCGCTTTGCAAATATCCTGTAATGTGACTCCTTTAAATAGAGCCCACAAAGTTGACATTCCCCTTGTTGAGAGAAGTCTCCTGCCAACCACAATCACGGCATCCGGGGCTGAACAAGTCATGACTCGTGACTCACATTCCTACGCTCAGTACTACATGTGCTAAAGTTTGAGCTGTAACATCCAGTTTCTAAAACCTTGCAAATGTATGCGGTGAGGACCAACTCGCCGCTTTGCAAATATCCTGTAATGTGACTCCTTTAAATAGAGCCCACAAAGTTGACATTCCCCTTGTTGAGTGTGCACGTAAACCAGGTGGGGACACGAGGCCCTTACTGGAATATGCCAAAGAAATCACCTCCACTATCCAGTGCGATAAACGCTGCTTAGTAATCAGCTTCCCTGTATGAGGTTTCATCCAAGATATGAAAAGCTGATCACTCTCCCTGAACCCTCTGGTTCTTTCTGTATAAATTTGTAAAGCACGCACTGGGCACAATGAATTTAACTTTTGCTGTTCTGATGAAGCAAAAGGTGGTGGGTAGAAGGCTCTTAACTCAAGAGGAATGATAGCTTTAACTATTTTGGGCATGAATGCAGGATTAGGTTTCAGAACTACCCCTGCATCCCCAGACATGAACTGCAAAACACGCTGAATGCACTGAAAACGTGTGAATCTTGCTTATGCATTTCTCCGAAGCCAAAGCTAACAGCAGTGCCATTTAAAGGGGTCATATAATGCGATTTCAATTTTTCCTTTCTCTTTGGAGTGTTACAAGCTCTTGGTGCATAAAGAAGTTCTGCAAAGTTGCAAAGACTAAAGTCTCAAATCCAAAGAGATATTCTTTATAAAAGTTAAGAGTCAACCACGCCTACCTAAATCGACTCGTTTTAACACGCCCCCACATATCTACGTCACTATTTGGGAAGATTTGTATAACGCCGCCCAAATGTTCACGCAAAGAAAGAAGGCGTAACTTTTATTCTCGCTGTAGTATTGTTGCTGCCGCCACCATGTTGTGAAGAGCTGTGTGTTTCGTTGTGAAAGCGAAACCACTTTGTTTGGTCTTCCATAAGATGATCCATGCTGGTCGCTGAGGGAATACATCAACTTTGTGCTGTGGATCGCCGGATCGGCTTTCACCGTGGACGAAGCGGAGTCCAGTCCGGGGTCGTCACATGTGGTTGCCGCTCCTTCGTCAAATCCGCCGGCCGTGCCGTTCTCAAGCTGCCCGCCTCCGCTCACTCTAGCCCGGCCTCAGCTCATTCTAAGCCGTGGCTTCCGCTCATGCTAGGCCGCCATGTGTTTCGTTGTGAAAGCGAAACTACTTTGTTTGGTCTTCCAAAAGAGGGCACGACTACAAATCAGTGGTTAAGTTGTATTTACAATATTGTTCCAGAACAGTTTAACCCAAATATCCAGATGTGTGCAGCACATTTTATGGAGGACTGTTTCCTGATCCTGGATGAGTAGACTACAATGCTGGCAGTTCTGACTCACAGTCTGTAAGTACGTTTTCATTTAAAGGATTTGCCACTGACGATTCAAACGCAAGTTTTGGGCAGTGTAGAGTAGCACTTGTTGTTTGTCATTTCTCAATGACATTTCAATGACTTCCCCGCATTTCAAAGGGATAATTCATTCTCAGGTGCGGGGAGAATTAAAACATGTTCTGGCTCGAACCACGCCCATGGGTACCCCTTGAACCAGAAAGGCCGGGTGTCTCCACTGGCGCAGTGCCAAGACTGCCTCTGACGTCACTCTCACTCTCCTCCAGGAGTGACATAATGGGTCCAGCCCCTGAGACGCTACCAAGCGTTGAAACTCTCTCATGAACAGTCTGCCTAAGGGAATAACTATCAAGGCTGAGGCCATCAGTCCTAATAGTCTGAGGCATGTGCGAAAGGAGACACAGTTTCCCCTCTGAATGTCACCGAGTTCAGTGACAGCCCCAGAGATGTTATAGACTGTGTGGGAATTAAAACACTCTTTTCGATGTTTAATTTTAAACCCAGTTTCTGTATATGTTCCAGAAGCATAACTGTGTGTTCTCTCGCTTCTTGCTCTGACCGGGCTGTCACCAGCCAGTCGTCTATGTAGCGAGACGAATGCCTTTCTCCCTGAGTCAGGGCCGCTTCTGTACATTTTACAAACACTCAGGGGCTAAGAGACAAGCCGAATGGTATAACCAGATATTCGTATGCCACGCCAAGGAAAGCAAAACTCAGGAATTTCCTGTGGGGTGGATATATCTTTATGTGAAAATATGCGTCTTTCAGGTTGATTGATGTAAACCAATCACCCTGCCGCACTAATTTTAGGAGTGTAGAATGTGTGAGCATTCTGAACTTGTACTTCCTTAAGTATTTGTTCAGTGCACGCAGATCTAATATGGGACGAAGACCTTGAGTCCCTTTCTTTGGGACGAGGAAGTATCTCGAGTAAAACCCGCTGTGGCTCTGCTCGGGTGGGACCACTCTTATCGCCCTTTTGTTCAACAGAGAGGAAATTTCTTCCTGAAGAACATGCTTTAATTCTCCCTGCACCTGAGAATGAATTATCCCTTTGAAATGCGCGGGGGTAGCTGCAAACTGCAGTCTGTGCCCGAATTGTATTGTCCTTAATGCACTGTGTGCATTCTCGCCAACTGATTATTCGCAGCGTTCTGGCGCCATCGTGTGGCTGAGTCGTGAACAAGTTCGTGGTCTGTGCTGCACATGCGTGGGCACTTAGCGCTTGGACAGAGTTTAAGTGTCTCATCACCGCTAAGGGAGCGATAACTCCCCAAGGTGATGTTATAATGTGTCCTGCTAAGATGTTTTGCAACATTTTTTGGGGAATTATGTTTTGCAACATGTTCTGGGAATACAGTGAAAACTTTATTGAGTTTTGAACATGAAAAGTGCTTGTGACTAGTGGGTGGGTGTGCACCACTGCACCATCTCTTGTCCTTTTCACTGCTCTGCTTCCTTTGGCCCAACCAGGCTCTATTTTCCACACAGAACATCTGGGAACTTCGAAACTCGTCCCTTGTCGAATGCTGAACATCTGAGGGTTGGAAGCTAGCGAACAAGGGGGCTGTGGGCTCCTTTCCCTGGGGAAGACCCCATCAAACTGC